TCAGATCCTCTGGAAGAGCAACCTGTGTGTTATCAGCTGAGCTATCTGTCCAGCCTCCCACCCACCACCCAACCCCACCCACAAACTCTAGGGACTACTATCATTCTTGTTTGTTTAGTTGCAGTTAGGGTTTGAACATGGTACATCCTCCTTAGGCTCACGTGTGAACATTTGGTCGCCAGTTGGTGGCGCTGTTTGGAAAGGTTATGGAACTTTTTTTTTTTTTAATGTTTTCTCAGTGTAGTCCTGACTGTCCTGGAACTCACTCTGTAGACCAGGCTGGTCTCGAACTCAGAAATCCGCCTGCCTCTGCCTCCCAAGTGCTGGGATTAAAGATGTGGGCCACCACTGCCGGGCTTGGTTATGGAACTTTTAAAGAAGAAGCCTTGCTGGAGGAAGTTTGTCACTGGAAGCTAGCTTTGACTCATGTGTATGCAAGGAGCCTTCTTCCTTCTCCCCTTCCCCCTCTCCCTCAGCCTTCTCACTGTCCAGGTGCCCTGCTGTCACCCACACTTGGCACACAGACCCTTGCTTTGCCTGGATCACCCTCGACATATTCCCCGCTTATACTGTCAGGGTGCCAGCAAGTTAGATCATCCCAAACACTTCCCATAAAAGTCTCCGTTAATTTCCACCCTCCATTTTAGTCTGCTTCAGTTTTCTCTGGACCACTTGACAGTTCCCTGGTGCTGTCGTGTATTTATTAGTCACTCTTCCCAGCAGAACACTACCTTTGTACATAATTATGTTTCCTGCCCCCATCTTTGGTTTTGATTTTGTTTTGTTTTGTTTTAGGGGGCAGGGGGAAGGGTGTGTGTTTCTTTGAGGTTATTTATTTATGTATGTATTTATTTCGTTTAAGGATTTGTGGAAACATTTTTGTTTTTATGAATTTCTTGGAGATAAAGTCTTACTATGTAGCCCTCACTTGCCCGGAACTCACTGTGTAGACCAGGCTGACCCCAAACTCTGCCCAAATAATATATATGTTATTATTTGGCCCTGGTGTTATTATTGCTGTTTTATTGATTTAAGATTGATTTCTAGTATTTTGATTTATGTGTGTTGTATATATTTCTATGTGCATATACACCCATGTGGATAAGTGTACATGTAAGTTCCTGTGGGGACCAGAGGGCATTGGGATTCCCTGGACCTAGAGTTTCAGGCGGTTGTGAGGCACCCAATGTGAGTACCGAGAACCAAGCTCTGGTCCTCTGGAAGAGCAGCCACTGTGCTCTTAACTGATGAACTAGCTCTCGACCTCCAGTGAGACCAAAACAAGTATGATATACCTACCTTTCCGGTGAAGGTTACCATTTGCAGTCAAGACCGTTAAGAAGAATTTCTGTGCAGGTTAAAGTTTCTGTTTGTAGTTAAAGAGTGTTTCTGACACTGTATAGCAGCCAGTTCCCTTGCCTCTGTGACACTTTATCTCTCGCATAACAGGAACCTCAAGAGGCTAAAAGGGGCTGCTCTCCAAAATCCCAGCTTAGGGAGAGGCAGTTGGACTGGCCAGTCATGGGTACACCCCAAAATACAGATTGCTTTAGTTAAACAATTGTGGCCTTGTTTTTCTTCTCAAAATCCTAAGGTAACATTATTAGTTTTTTGAGATGGTGTAGTATAGCCCAGGCTGGCCTTAAACTTGGTATGTAGCTGAGGATGACCTTAAACTCCTGATCCTTCTGTCTCCTCCTTCCATGTCCAGCTCTTATTTTTATTTCTTTATTTTTTGAGACAGGGTTTCACTCTGTAGTCTGGGCAGGCCATGTAGCCTAGGCTGGCCCCAATTTTGTAATGATCCTCTGCCTCAGCCTCCTAAATGTTGAGATTTTGGTGTGTCCCACCATACTTGGCTACTGTTTGCTTGCTTTTTGTTTGTTTGTTTGTTTGTTTGTTTGTTTGTTTTTTCAAGACAGGGTTTCTCTGTGTAACCCTGGCTGTCCTGGAACTCACTCTGTAGACCAGGCTGGCCTCAAACTCAGAAATGCGCCTGCCTCTGCCTCCCAAGAGCTGGGATTAAAGACGTGCGCTACCACTGCCCGGCTAAAATACTGAATCTTAAATCCTGACTTCTCGTGTCTAGATTTTTCTCATGTATACGGGATAGCACTTGACCTTTCTGAGACTTGCCACATATTGTAAAGATCGAGTGAAATGACTTCCTCTCTCTGTCACATCCCATTGGAGTGAGTCAGCATCCTCCTGGCAATCCTTTCCTGGCCTCTCTCCTCATGGTCTTTATCTTCCTGTCCAGCCCAAAAGTCCAGAAGGTAGTTGTGGTAGTCTGAATAGAAATGTTATATCTACAGGCCTTTAGGAAGTAGCACTGTTAGGAGGTGTGGCCTTACTGGAGTGGGTGTGGCCTTACTGGAGTGGGTGTGGCCTTCTTGGAGGAAGTGTGTCATGGTGCGGGTGGGCTTTGAGATCTCAGCAGCTCAAGCCAGACCCAGAGTTTCTTTTTTTGCTGCCTGCGGATCTGGACGTAGAACCCTCAACTACCTCTCCAGCACCAGGCCTGATTGCATGCTGCCATGCTTCCCACCAAAACGATAATGGACTGAACCACTGAACAGCAGAGGTCACATGGTACCTCTTCACAAGAGAGCTGACAGCAGTCTTACTTACAGCAACAGAAGCTAACTCAGAGAGGCCAGGCGACCACTTTCCCATCCCATTCATACTAATACATAAGTGGCTCTGTGACTCTGTCAGTCCCCCTGGTAACAGAGTTCCCTCCTCCCCCAGAAAGCTGATGAACAAGGACGAGGAGAGAAGTAGCTGTGGAGGAAGGGCGGTAGATGATAACAAGCCCGAGCCTGAGACAAGGACATTACTATCTCGAAGGAAAGAAACCACTTGAAGGCTCTAAAAGCACCTATCTTGACTTCAGCCTTCCTCATCTGAGAAACAGAAACTCGTGGTTGCCGAGTTATATATATGGGTGGGCAAAGCGAATGAGCTGGGGTGGAATGCTTCCGGGACGAGCTTAGCATGGAGGCCTTGGTGTGTGTCAAGAACGCCAGGCGGAGGGGTTACATTTCAGTTCTGTCCCTCCTGCTGGCCACTGTCAGGTCACTATGACACAGCTGGGACTGCAGGGACCACCTTGTGACCGACTTTTAACTGCCCACATATCATTTATGGGCTGTGACTTTTCTTATCCCCTCCTCTGATTTTTGTCAAATACTTGTGGTCTTGGTATCTTATTGATCTTACTTAGCTTGCTTTTTGTGTTTTATTGATTGATGCTAAAAGATACGTACGATTTAAAGCTTCAATGTGAGTAATGAGGCTGATAGCGCAACCTTAAGTATCTGAAGCCAAGGCACTTGGGGTTTAGGATGTACAAGCAGAGGCTACGCATACGGCTCAGTGGTTAAGAGCACTGGCTGCGCCGGGCAGTGGTGGCGCACGCCTTTAATCCCAGCACTTGGGAGACAGAGGCAGGTGGATTTCTGACTTCGAGGCCAGCCTGGTCTACAGAGTGAGTTCCAGGACAGCCAGGGCTACACGGAGAAACCCTGTCTCGAAAAACAAACAAACAAACAAACAAACAAAACCAAAAAAAAAAAAGCACTGGCTGCGCCTGAAAAGGACCTGAGTACGGTTCCCAGCACCCACCTGACAGCTTACAGCCATCTGTAACAATACTTTCAGGGCCTCTTCCAGAAGTGCCCTTCTGCCCTCTGTGTGTATCAGGGGTGCACTTAGTGCACAGACATATGTGCATGCAAACATTGATACACATAAAAATAAATCTTTTGGGGCTGGAGAAATGGCTCAGTGGTTAAGAGCACTGACTGCTTGCTCTTCCAGAGGTCCTGAGTTCAATTCCCAGCAACCACATGGTGGCTCACAACTATCTGTAATGGGATCCGATGCCCTCTTCTGGTGTGTCTGGAGACAGCTATCTACAGTATACTCATATACATAAAATAAATAAATCTTTAAAAAAAATAAATCTTTTTTTAATTTAATTAAATTTTATTTATTTTTTGTTTTGTTTTTTCGAGACAGGGTTTCTCTGTATAGCCCTGGCTGTCCTAGAACTCACTCTGTAGACCAGGCTGGTCTCAAACATAAAAATAAATCTTCACAAAATGTATAAATAGAGCTTGGTGGATGCGTATAGCATTTGCTTGGTAAATGCATGATTATTAGAATTAGATTTTGGCTTTTTCATTTTTTAAGGATTCACTTATTTTATGTATGAGTGCCCCATCTGCGTGTACACCTGCACGCCAGAAGAGGGCATCAGATCCCATTACAGATGGTTGTGAGCCACCGTATGGTAGCTGAGAATCGAACTCTGGGACCTCTTAACGGCTGAGGCAACTCTCTAGCCCTGTTCTTTCCATTTGGACAAACTGACTGAGGGGTGGAGGGAACACAGTGGTCAGCGCTAGTCCAGTATGTAGGAGGCCCTAGCCAATCCCTAGCTCTCTAAAGGAAGAACAAAAGGAATGAGAGGTAGGGAGGGAGAGGAAAAAGAAACCCCTCTAGGGACTGGAGACAGGGCTCAATACCGCCCTTGCAGAGGACCCAAGTTAAGTCTCGAACCTTCATCAGGAAGCTCACAATCACCTATACCTTAAGCCCTAGGGCATCCAACAATGTCTTCTGGCTTTTTTTTTTAATTTATCTATTTAAATGAGTACACTGTAGCTGCCTTCACACACACCAGAGGAGGGCATCAGATCCCTTTACAGATGGTGGTGAGCCACCATGTGGTTGCTGGGAGTTGAACTCAGGACCTCTCGAAGAGCAGTCAGTGCTCTTAATCACTGAGCCATCTCTCCAGCCCTTTGTTTTTCTTTTTAAGACAGGGTTTCTCTGTGTAGCCCAGGCTGTCCTGGAACTTGCCCTATAGATTAGGCTGGCCTCTAAGTCAGATCTGCCTGTCTCTGCCTCCCAAATGCTGGGATTAAAGATGTGTGTGCCACCACTGACAAGCTATAGCAATTCTCTAAAAAAGTAAATCTCTTCCTTTGTAGTCCAGGGAAGAAGACAGGAACCAGGATGGGAAAATGGATGTGCTCTACTTTAAACTTGAACTTCCCCTGCAGTCCACAGAGCATGTGCTCGGTGTGCAGCTTATCCTGACCTTCTCCTACCAACTGCACGTGAGTCTGTCCTCTCTGAGCTGCAGCGCAGATGGCTCCCGTATGGAAGGTTATTAGAAACTTAATATAGATAAGTTGAATATTCAAAGTGGTAGGCCAGAGGGTTCTGGGCAGAAAGGTTCCCGAGTGGGCTAGCACACACATGCCAGGCCTGTCAACTTCAGCCGCTGACAGGTGACTTGTGAACCCCCAGGCTCCTCAGACCTGATGATGGCGTCTCTCTCTCTCCTAATGATTTCAGAGGATGTCTACATTTGAGATGCAGAGCATGGCGTTTCTACAGTCCTCCTTCGCTGTTCCCGGGTCACAGCTACACGTGAATGGCGACCTGAGGCTTCAACAGAAGCAGCTGCTGAGCTACCGTGGCCTGGATGTCAGATACAACGTAAGGATGCCCTTGTGGTCCAGCACCTTCATGCCTATGTTTATCACCGTCCTCAAAAGACAAGAATTTAAGCTTAGAAATAGCATTTGGTTCTTCTTACATGCATGAGTGTTCTCCCTGAATGGATGTTGTATACCACAGATGTGCAGTGCTGGACACAAGCCCAGGTCCTCAGAAGACAGTCAGTACTCTAAACCACTAAACCATCTCTCCAGCCCCATCATGAATTCTTTCTTAATGTAGGAAGAGAGTTGGAGGGTTGGCTCAGTGGCTGAGAGCACTGGCTGTTCTTCCAGAGGACCCGAGTCTGATTTCCATCACCCACGTGGCAGCTTACAACTGCTTGTAGTTCCACTTCCGGTGGATCCAACACCCTCTTCTTCTTTTTTTTTTTTTTTTTTTTTGGTTTTTCGAGACAGGGTTTTTCTGTGTAGCCCTGGCTGTCCTAGAGCTCACTCTGTAGACAAGGCTGGCCTCGAACTCAGAAATCCGCCTGCCTCTGCCTCCCAAGTGCTGGGATTAAAGGCGTGCGCCACCACCGCCTGGCCCAACACCCTCTTCTGACCTCCTCAGGCACTGAGCACACACAGTGCACAGAAACACGAGCAGACAAAACACACATACACATGAAAACAATAATTTTTTTTTTGTAGACGTAAAAAAGGCATACCATGCTTTATACTCTGAGAGAGAGGGTTCTTACTGAAGAAGTAAACTGTCTCTTGCTTTCAGGTACACACATTCCGAATGTATTCTGTGTTAGTTTTTGTTGTTTGTTTGTCTAGTTGGTTTATTGGTTTTGTTTCTTCAAGACGGGGTTTCTCTGTGTATCCCTGGCTGTACTGGAACTCGCCCTGTAGACCAGGCTGGCCTCAGACTCTCAGGGATCCACCTGCCCTGCTGGGATTAAAGGCGAGCACCATTACCAGGCCACTTTCTGTTAGTTTATTGCTTGCTGTGATCCAATACCTGACAGAACAACCCAAAGGAGGAGAGATCTATTTTGCTCACAGTTTCAAAGGTTTTAGGCTGTCCCAGTGTGGGGAAGGGGAGGGAAGAGCTTCACGCTGTGGCCTGCAGGAAGCAGAGTGAAGCAGGTTGGGACCGGAACGAGATGCAGCCCTGAGGGACAAGTCCTCATGCCAGGCTTCTTCCAGCCAGGTCTCACCTTCCACAGCTTCACCCCAGTCACTCCCAACCATCCAACGTCTGCCACATTGTGTACCCATCAGTGGGTCAAACCATCCATCAGCTCTGAGCTGAGCCCTCACTTCCTACACTTCTCTGGAGATGCCCTGTACCCAGAGGTGTGCTCTCCTAAATCTTCCGAGCGTTGCTCAAGCCAAGCAATATGACAGTCAATATTGACTGTCACATCTTCCAAATGATCTCATAAAATGCCTATGTAAATAGATTTTTTAAATTGCTAGTCACCAGTCATTGAACAGGTGACATATGCCAGCCCAGAGTGAAAAAGTTTACAGGTGGGTGTGGTGGCATGCCTGCCTTGGCAGCCCCTGCTTGGGAGACCGAGGCAGGAAGATGACTTGAAGCCAGGAAGTGAAGACTAGCCTGGGTAACTGAGCAACACCCCATGTCAAACAGAAGTGAGAAAGAGCCTTGCTCATCTGTCATGCTTCTCTGTCATCACGGTGTAAATGAATGACACCTCATCTCAAACAGAAATGAAAAGGAGGTTTATGAATGTGGGTTCCAGCCAGCTCAGTGGCTTCCTGAGACACCGGCTGGCTCAGCGCTCAGCATTGTTTGTTTGAAAGGCCTATGGCCACAGTGCATGCCAACAGGACCAGGGGTGGAGGGAACATACGGACAGCCATGTGGTTAGCATAGCCCGTTTTCCTAGAACAGGAATTGGAGACAAACTTGTTTTTACATAAAAACAATATAGACACATGGGGGGGCGGGGGCAGGGATCTCACCATCTCCAGCTCTGCGGCCTCCTGTCCTTTCCTCATGCCCTCGCTTTATCCAGCTGCACGGACAGCCCTTCTGCTATTCTTTAAACCCACAAAGCAGCTCCTGCCCCTCTCTCTCTCTTTCTCTCTCTCTCTGTGTGTGTGTGTGTGTGTGTGTGTGTAAGAGACAGAGACAGACAGACAGACAGATGAAACCTGTGGTAGGTAGACATTGGCCCTTATTTCTATCACTATAAAAGGTAAGATTGAGGGCTGGAGAGATGGCTCAAGCGCTTAGGAGCACTGACTGCTCTTCCAGAGGTCATGAGTTCAATTCCCAGCGACCACCTGGTGGCTCACAACCATCCGTAATGGGGTCCGATGCTGGTGCTGTCTTCTGGTGCGTCTGAAATAAGACATGAAATAAATAAATCCAGAAGGGAGTGCTTCCCCAGTGAGACTGTCTGGGAGAAAACTTAATTTTTTTAAAAAAAAAGGTAAATTTGAGAGCCAGATGATTTCAATTATTAGAGAGAGCTTACTCATTCTCAAAGAAAAGGCTGGTGAGATGTTCGGTTCCCAGCATCCACATCGGGTTGCTCACAAACACCTGTGACTCTAACTCCAGGGGCATCCGATGCCCCTGGCCTCCCTGGGTACGTGTGCTCACAGGTACATGTTTACCCCCCCCCCTGGCACACTCACATATACACATAACTGTGAACAACAAAAATAAAACTACATAGGAACGATTACTGCAACAGGGCTGGGTCACAAGAATAAGAGTTCCGTCTCTGGGCCAGGGTGGCCTCCAGGAGTGAGCCTGGGTGAGCTGCTGGGTGGGAAGAAGCAGAGCGCTCACCGCTCGTCCTTCCGCCCCGCCCCAGGTATCCGTGATCAATGGGACTAGTCCTTTTGCGCACGACTATGACCTCGCTCACATTGTTGCCGCCTACCAGGAAAGGAATGGTGAGTCGTGGACCCCCGCTCACAGACTGCCCAAGCTGAGGGGACCGTGAAGACAAACCACTGGGATCCTGTTCGTGATGAAAACCGCAAACCCAGTGGAGGCTCAGGGATGGGCATACCGGAACTTGTCCTCTGTCCACTGTCCTCAGAGCCACGTCATTTCCCACAAGCCACCTCTCCCACAGCCCAGCATATTAGCAGTCACGCGCCTTATTTATCCAGTCACAGGCTTGGCTGCTTTCCTCTCCTTAATGTGTATTTAAGCCTAATTGAGTTATCTCTCACAATACACCTACGAAAGAAGCCAGGGACAATTTGCTGTCCTCACTTGCCAGACAGCGATGGCTGATGTGTGTCAAGCAGTCCGCGTGTGTAGGCTGGTAGAAGAGAGGCACTGCAGATCTGACTGTGGGCAGTGTGTGTTCTCTAGAGTAGCATCCCCAGGCTTCAGTCAGCACACCAGGTTGGCTGGGTTGGCTGGTGGTGATAGCCATAGGCGGTTCACAAGGGGGGGGGGGGCTTGCAATTCCACTATTTCCTCTTAATTTTATGCAGTAAATACAATAGCAGCAATAGACTAGCAATATTCCTAAAACTAAATGTGACCGCCAATGGCCTGAAAATCAATTCTTTTCCTCTTTATTTCATTCGCTCTTTTTCCATGTATAGTTTCACACAACCTTCATTCTTTGGGGCTGGGAGCTAGAGCTTTTGCTTAGCATGTACAATACCCGAGATTCAGTCACCAGTACCGCATAAAGCACAGTAGCACACACTCATAGCCCCAGCCCTCAGGAGGTAGAGTCGAGAATATCAGAAATTCAAGCTCACCCTTAGCAATATAGCAAGTCAGAGGCCAGTGAGTTACATGAGACTCTGGGGGGTGGGGGGAGGGAGAGAGGGAGGGAGAGAACCAAAGAGCCAAAGAGATGGCTCGTGGGTGGGTAAGAGCGTTTTCCATTAAGCCAGATGACCCGAGTTCTATCCCTGGAACTCACATGGTGGAGGGAGAGAGCTGGCACACACCCCCAACTCCTCCCTCCACGCTTGCACAGGTGCATGCTCGTGCACACACACAAAGTAAATAAATGTATTTAAAGGGGCCAGCACTTGTAACACAGATCAGCAGTTAAGAGTGCTTGCTACAAGCCGGGCGGTGGTGGCGCACACCTTTAATCCCAACACTTGGGAGGCAGAGGCAGGCGGATTTCTGAGTTCGAGGCCAGCCTGGTCTACAGAGTGAGTTCCAGGACAGCCAGGACTACACAGAGAAACCCTGTCTCGAAAAACAAAAAAACAAAAAAAAAAAGAGTGCTTGCTACTCTTCCAGATCACTGGGCTTCCCGGCAGTTGTGTTAGGCTGTTCTTGATTGCCTATAACTAACTTCAAGGAATCCAATAGATCTGGCCTCTACAGAGACCCTCATACACAAATACACACACGCATACGCACACACACACACACATGCACATATATACACGCACGCACACACAAACAAGCACACATTTGGGATCTGTATTCAAAGACTACTCATAGCCCTTCACTTTGGATTAATGGTTAATGTTTGTGTTGCAGTTACCACCGTCCTCAGTGACCCCAACCCCATCTGGCTGGTGGGCAGGGCTGCTGAAGCTCCTTTTGTGATCAATGCTGTCATCCGCTATCCCGTGGAAGTCATTTCATATCCTTTCTCTTAGGCAGTCAGTGGTAGCTCATTCCCACTAAGAAAGGAGAGCTTCCTTAGCTACCTCAAGTAGGAACAGATGTGGGACTCACAAGATAGGAAATTGCTTCGGCTCTGTAGCCCCACACAAATGCCTGCTGTTCCCACAGCAAAGACAAATCAATTTCCTGTGCCTATTTCTTTCTAAACAATCCTTCTGGGTCAGAATTATCCATATTTATATCTTAATAATCTCTGGCCATCCATTTTATCTGAAGAGTATTTGAAATATTATTTCTATTTCCCATCTGACCTGAGCTTTGGGGTAACTGTCTCTTACATGCGGCTGTTGTCTCCTTAGCACTTTGCACTTACCAGCCAGGGTTCTGGGAGATGATAAAGTTTGCCTGGATCCAGTATGTCAGCATCCTGCTCATCTTCCTCTGGGTGTTTGAAAGAATTAAAATCTTCGTGTTTCAGAACCAAGTAGTGACCTCCATCCCTGTAGCCGTGTTCCAGGGAGAGATAAGAAAAGAGCACTTATCATAAGAAGATCCCATCAGGAGACCAAGGGACCATGGCTACCTCATTCCTGACTTCTGAGACCTGCCGTTTCACAACATTTCTGCAAAGAGCCCGCTGGACACTTTCAGGCCTGCATGTTTCACTTCAGAGACAAAGAATGGGTTTTCCAGTGTTGTACTGCACAAAGCCCACACCTTCAAAACACTGAGGGAGCTCACAAACACTAGTTTGTGGAAAGGTCTCAAGGTTACTGGAGGCTGTGATTTATGCTTTGTTTTGTTTCTGGTTTTGCTTTGCTTTGGCCTTGAATTTCAGGAGAAAATTGCAGAGTTCATACATCTTTGAAAGAGCCCCACCTCTGGTCAAACGAGAAGTTTACCTCTTTTGAACTGGGATGCCCTGTGCACTCCTCCCTTCTGTCATAAGCTAGCTATGCTTTTTAGCCTCCTCAGGGGCTCTCACAAGAAACATGCAAGCCCCTAGTACTCTCGACTCCTGGGTATCTACACAGTGCTCATTCAGAACTTGGATTTCCAGAACTGAAGCCTTTAACTGGAGACCGGAAGGGGGCAGGGCAGGACCTAAATACAAGAGTCTCAGAAACATGTGCGTGCTGGCGGGTAACTTAAGGGCAGGAGGACCAGACACCTGCCCTCAGGCTAATAGATGGGGGTCTGTCATCAGCTCAGCTGAACAGGCCTCTGTTCCTGCCCTGCTGTGGCTGGCTCTGTGCCCTGTTTCTTGCCCTCTGTCTGTGCCCCTGGGATGGCGGCTGGAGTCCGAAGTGCTGTTACATTCCGTCTGTCCCCCTACCCCCAGCACCAGCGAAGGATGTCGGGCTTCTAACAACAGGTTCTTTCTCCCTGGCCCTCACCCAACAGCCTGGCCACACCCCCTCCTCGATGGCCTTCCCCCTTTCTGAAAGGATGTGGGTGACAGAGGGGTGGTTGTTGGCATTGGCTTCCACTGCCTGACAACCACAGGGTTTATTTGGAGGCTGAGCTGAAGACTCAGTTGTTTGCAGTTCCCTTGATTAAGGAACAGGGTACTTACCAGAGGGGAGACTTAGGAGAAGGCATGAGGAGCAGAGAGTGAAGGGAGAGACTGAGCAGAGCGTCTAATCCAACCTGGCCATTAACAGAGTGAGAAGGAGACCAGATAGCCCTCTAGTCTATAGAAATATCTACAAAGATGTCTACTGTGCATAGAAAACTGTTATTTGGCCCCATTCCTGCCCTGAGCAATTGTTCTTAAATTCACCGTATCATTAGCCCTGGAAGGACATACCTCCTCCTACCGCCCATGCCTCATGTCGAACCCTAAACACTCCTCACTACATGCGCCCAGTTTACCTTGGAGACACCCCTCTGTCAGACTGAGGAAAGAACGAACTTTGAAAGCAAAGCTATTTTGAAGTATCCAAGGAGAAAAACTCTAGTACTAGTTTCTCTGACTTAACACGAACAGCTGATTATATGCCTGACTGGTTTGGTTTTTTTTTTTTTTTTTTTTCCTGGAGATTTACTTGGAAAATGGTCTCTGATTTCAATTTCAAAAAGATTATGAGAGGGCTCGGATGTGGCTCAGTTAAAAGAAGTCCACACTCAGAACCCTGGGGTCTATCTCCAGCTACACATAAATCTTTATGGTGGTTTCAAGCCTCTAACCCCAGCACATTGGGGGTGGAGGCAGGAGCAGAAATGCAGGATCATCCTTAAGTTAGAGCCCAGCCTGGGACACTTGAGACTCTATCTCAGTCAAATAAGGAAATGGGGTTGGGGGCACGATCAGAAATATATTGTATGGAAAAAAAAGATACCTAGATACAGAAAGATGACCAAAGATACAGGCTACTTTGCATTATATTAAACTATCCTGTGCAAAAAATTGTATAGAGAATGCAATGATGTTTTATAACTTTCTAATTAAAATGTTCCAAAAGAAAGTTTCCTGTGACTTCTGAAAGACAGGGGCCCTGGGTGTGGGAAGAACAGGGAGGGAAGAGCTTCCACGTGATTCTGACTGACTGACAGCCATGCCCTGCCAGCCCCCTACCTAAAGATGTTGGAGCTTTCGTTAGGTCTTTGGTAAAAGTCCCCTGATAAAGGAGGGTTTTTCATTGGAATCCCTATGGCAAGTGAGAGATGCGGGCTGGAAAATGAAAACTGCTTGGTGAGTAGCAGCTGTTGGATGGTTGGTTCTAGGCCTCCATGGCACAGAATGGCAAGAGGAAAAATAGTGGAACATATACAGGACTGCAGCTGAGGTAGATAACTCAGAGTGTGACTTGGTTACTCATCCTGGGAAGGAGGATGGGGGAAAGGTTTGGTTTTGTCACGGGATCTGTTCTGATTCTGTTTGAAGGAGATGAGGCCTGCACTGGCACAGCGTAGTTCTCCTTTCTTCCTCCCTTCCACTTCTTCACATTCATGCATTTCAGAGTAAGTTTTGTACATTTTTTTTTTTTTGACCAGGTGAATTCTAAAAGTGTCTCCTGGAGAAACTGTGTAAATCTCAGAAGCCTCAGTTAAACTTCTTTATTTTTGTGGAAGCAGGATCTTGGTATGTAACCCAGGGCGGTCTTACACTTCAGGTAATCCTTCTGCCTCAGTTTCTCAAGTCCTAGATTTACAGGAATGATCCACCAAACCTGACTTTAAATTTTTGTTTTATTTTTCAAGACTGTTTCTCTGTAGCCCTGGCTGTCCCAGCACTCACGCTATAGACCAGGCTGGCCTCAAACTCAGAAATCTGCCTGCCTCCCAAGTGCTTGCTGGAATTAAAGGTGTGCCCACCACCACCCAGCTCTGACTATAATTTTTAAATAATGTAACAGCTGTCTAAATACTTTACCCAAGAAGTTAATAGATGGTGTTCTCTTAGAATGCAGCTTTTTTTGTGTGTGTGTGCTCATTGTAGCTTTTTTCCCCAATGTGCTAATACCACTTCTTTGAAAGTTATATATAAATCTTTGTTGTTGGTTTATTTTCTTAAGATGGATCCAGAAAGAAGTTACTAGCTCAGAAAGTTCAGGGCCACGGTTAAGGATCCTAATTTTATCTTGCCAAGCCGCACCCCGGAAAGGCTGCATTGATATACATTCCCAGAAGGAACTTGGACCCCACCACAGATTTACAAGTGTCCCACAAAGCCCCGTCTTCTGCATAAGATTGGGCTCCGCCCTATTACTTGTAAGAGGAGAAATCTATTTTATTGAAATGTGTCCTATGTTTATCTGGACCTGTTATCAAGCCCACACCTCTGGGTAGATTCGCGTACCCGAAAAGGTTGGCAGCTGCTGTTCTTGCTGCAAAAGTTACCTGTCCTCTCGGCCCCGCCCCACTCCTGTGTTGCTCAGGAGGCATCTGGGTCCCCCTGGCATCAAGGTGTCTGTTTGGATAGTTGCAAAGATGCCATCCTCAGAGGAGGAGGGCAAGATAAAGATTCAATTTCCTGCACAAGGGCCTTTTGTCCTCTGAGAAGCTTCTCCCCTCGGGACAGATTTTTCGGTCCATTAGTGGGCCGAGCGGTGGCTCTGCCAGCAGGCTGGATCCATCCTCCCTACCCAACTCCCCGGGAGGGGGCGGTCAGTGTTCCTGGAGCCCACCTGTGTCCTCTCTCTTCCTGACCTCGACACCCTCTCCCCCCCCCGCCCCCCGGGCGTGGCCCGACACGGTCACGCCTGGGAAGGATAGAGGAACCCCAGGCCAACTGGCTGCTTTCTTGCTCCGATCCCGCCCTGGCTCCCGCGGGCGGCCCCAGGCAAAGAGCCACCACTGACTGAGCGGCTCATTGTATGCGCCCCGGGCGGGCAGCGCAGAGCAGCGCAGAAGTGCAGCCGGCAGCGCAGGTAGAGCCGGGCCGGGCAGGGGGGTCGGGTGGGGGGATGGCTGCTCTAGGGTGGGGAGCCTGGGTCTCCGGGATAACCTTAGGACTCCTCAATTCCAACATCTCGTTCTTACTGCTCTAAGGTTTCCGTCTCCCTCTGGGATTCCTATGTGGTTTTCTCCAAGTGTTTCCTATATGTTAGTACCCCATCGGTGCCCTCTAGATTCTCCGGGCCAATGTCACCGGAATGTCCCTTCTTCGCTGTGGGATCTTAAGAACTGAGTCAGTCCCCACAGGGCTGCCTGTGGGGTGGAACTCGGAAGGGACCAGTCCTAGGAGCCTCTGTTGAGCCTGTGGGGGAGAGATGTCCTCGTCCGGGCGCCAGGGCCAGTTCATGGGCAAACTCCAAGCTTTTGGTTAGATGAGTAATCAGGTCTCCAGGTGCGATGTTCCATTTCAAGGGGGAATTTGGGCTGAACTAGAGATGCAGCTTGCGTAGCTCATCGGTCTGAGAGCTTAGTCAGGGTTGGTGGCGAGAGTGAATTGTGAGTGATGTGTATGTGTCACGGAGACAAGTTATGATTCGCAGGGTTCTTGGAAATGGTCGGTCCATCGGGGACTTCACCCCTCTTTTCCCTCTCCATCTACTGGAGCATCGTTTTTAAGCTCACTCAAGAGCTTTGTCACAAAATGCTTAAGAAAAAAAAAAATAGTTTGGAACCAGATCTAGAATTTGGGTTTGATGGTTTGGCTTCTGGTTGTTCAGCCTTGGACACAGCAGTAGGTTTCCTTGGCCCTCAGTATGTGTCCACCCCAAAAATGCTCCTTTCTCTTCCCTCCTAATAGGGAGCAGAAAGGGGAAACAAACACACTTCGGAAGGAGGGCTTAAGGTTTCTGAGATTTGAGGCCTGAAGACTCTGTACAGTCCAGGTTGTCCTTGAAGTCACTGTAGCCCAGGGTGGCCTGGCCTCAAACTCATAAATGCTGGGATTACAGGACAGTGCTGCCATGCCCTTAGCTAAATAAATCAAATGCCATCTTTTTAAAGATGAGGGAATTGAGACTTGACCAGCAGGGGGGCTGGGTTGACTGGACCCCCCCCCCCCCCCCCCGCATAAAGAGCTACAGAGAAGAGAAGACAGTGGGTGGGGTGACTCGTTATAATCTCATTTTACCAAGGAACTTGGCCTGGAGTGGTTTAGTGACTGGCCTGACATAGGATATGAACCCAGTGTGACTCCAAAGCCAGGCTTCCAGACATTATTTCTAGTAGAATTCTGTGTCGTGCGCTCTTGTGTTGTCTGTGCCTGTCCTTGCTGTCTTTTGTTTGAGTCAGAGGGTCATCACAATCTGTCCAGACTGCTGTGCTGGGGGGTTTCTTATGCTCGGAATTTCTCTTAGGTTCATAGAATAATATAATTATGACCCAGATCACATGCCTGGTGTTATTTTTAAGTGCTTTAGAAATATGATCATCCCAGTCTCGAGACCTAGCCCATAAGTTAGGGCTACTATTTCTTTTGTTTTGTCAATTTAAAGTAATAAACAGGGACAGAGGGATTAAGTAACCTGGTCCCCCCATGCAACAGGGTCCAGCTTCTAGCCTCACTGGAGGACACAGGCCATGTAGACTTGCACGGACAGGAGTGTACTGGATGGTACTGGCAGCACTCACCGTCGCCTAAGACAAGTCCATAGTGAAATTTCTCTTATTATCTCTAAGATAGCTTCTAGTGATTGTTTTGTCTTTTCAAATCAGAATATGTCCTAAGACACCGTTTGACTGTTTAGAGTTCCTTTCTTCTCAACTAATCCTTTTTTTTTTTTTTTTTTTAGTGATGTCATTGACTTGGGAGAATAATTTACTCTTTTGGATATAAAGTCATTAAAAAATTAAGCTGAGGGCTGTAGCTGGTCTTTTGCTACTTTGGGGGTTCTTTTTCCCAAACTTTATCCTCTCTACCTCCCCAGGTTTCAGCCTGAATCACTAGATAGGAGAGAGAGATCTTTGAATCTAATTTCTTTTTGTTTCTGCTTTGAGCAGGACCACTGACAAACCACAACCGACCTACCCTGAACGACCACCAACCCCCGCCTAGTGGAGCGCTAGCATTTACATACCCTCTAAAAAGTTCCCAGAATTCCAAGCATCGCATTTGCAGAAACTACCTCCAGCTAGTTAAACCACGCCTCTGCTAGAGCACGTGGCAAGAAAGAGTCAGCTGTTGCCGTGAAGCAGACCCGCATCCCCACACACGATGTTAAAACAAAAACATGTTCTGATAGTGTTTCTGTGTTTTTTGTTTTTTGTTTTTGTTTTTTTAAAGAATTCTCACCGGGCGGTGGCGCACGCCTTTAATCCCAGCACTTGGGAGGCAGAGGCAGGTGGATTTCTGAGTTCGAGGCCAGCCTGGTCTACAGAGTGAGTTCCAGGACAGCCCGGGCTACACAGAGAAACCCTGTCTCGAAAAAACCACTACAGAGGGTCGTGCGTGGCACACGTCTTTAATCTCAGAGACACAAGCAAGATGATCGGAGTTTGAAGACAGCCCACTCTACTGCATAGCACATTCCAGGCCCGACAGAGCTACAGAGTGCGACCCTGTCTCTAAATACATTAATAAAATAAATTAATAGAATACATCAGAGAACATTCTAGATGCTCTCTATAAGTGCTCTGCCAAGGAAGCACAGGAATATGCTAAATAAATGTACACCCCCTACATGATGTCCTGTGTGTTGCTATGGAGAAGGAGTTTCATAGTTCAGGATCCCTCTATATGATTCTATGGTTTTTAATAATTCTTAAAGATATTTATTTTATGTGTATACATGTATTCCCGAGTGTATCTACAGGTACCAAGTACATGGAGCCAGGAAATTAAAAGAGACACCAGATTCCTTAGAACTAGGTCAGTTCTTTTTTTCTTTTCCTTTTTTTTCAGACAGGGTTTCTCTGTGTAGTACTGGCTACCTGGAACTTACTCTGTAGACATGGCTGGACTCGAACTCAGATCTGCCTGCCCCTGCCTCCTGAGTTCTTAGGCATGCACCACCACTGCCTAAGATACTTCGTTTTCATTGACAATTCCTGACTCAGAACACTCTAAGGCACATCATACAGGTCGTAAAAACTAGAATTTCTCTTTTTTTCCCCAAGTCAGGTCATAGAAACTCAAACTCACTTTCTCCCTCCCCCACCCCCTCCCCGAGTGTGCCTTGGAGCTGCTGGTTGTCCAGACCTTGTGTGAACTAGACAGATATCATGAGGGGTCTTGCTCCATACCCCATGCCCTGGAGGAAGGAATGCTACACAGAGAAGTCAAGAATCTAGACTGACAGGCTGTGCTGGGTTTCTCCACACAGTGTAGCTAGCATTAGACATACAGGGGAATGTTTATAAAAGTGCAAAGGGACAGAGTTCAGAGAGAGTACTTAAGGTCAATGCACCTGAAGAGGACCATGATGTTACTCCTTCTTTTTTTTTTTTTTTTTGGTTTTTCGAGACAGGGTTTCTCTGT